CCATAAGCTGAAATCACAGCAAGCAGGAATTTTAGAACCAAAGAGAGTGGGTACAAAGGCACTCTGAAAGGTGATGGAGGCCATCCCTTACCTTAAGCATATAGAACAATGCCCTATGTCACACTGACCCATAAGTTCCTCTTACTTTTAAGAGGTTCACTGATTCTAAAAACTTCTACTGATACAATTCCACAACCTCCCAAGGAATTAATCTATTCCAGTGCTCAACTTTATTATGTTCTGAAAGAGTTGTGTTTTTTTTTAATTCTGCCTCCAATATTTAAACTAAATCTCCAATGCAAAACTTCCCTACTCCTTGCTCAAAAGTAATGTATTATTCCTGTCATCTTTCTAGTTCTTTGAAAGTGAACCTAACGTTCACGTTTCCATATAAAGAGGCTGGTAGTCACTGAATTCTTGTATATCTACATTTAAAAATGTATGAGATAGTCAGGGTCATCTTAAGCAAAGAGCTTAAGCTCACCCTGCTCCCATATTTTTTTGATGACATACAGCAGGCAAAAGGGAAGAAGCTAAAAGGAAAAAAAAGATCTCTGTGACTCAGTATGTAACACTGTAGGAACAGAGGCAAGCAGCAAATCATCAACTGCCATGCAAATGGAAAAAAATCTCACCTTTAAAAAAAATCTTCAGATGGTAAACTGCTTCATGACATGAGCTGCCTTCAACTCAATCACTGGCACGAACATTTTCCTTGGAAAGCCAGTCTGAATCCCAGACAACCCCTGCAGGCACTTGGATGCACTCACTGAAACCAACACCCACCCATGCCACTCAGCTAATTTCGTGGAACAGGAAAGATACAAAACCACAGAACTACTTTTTTTATGTCCTAATTTAGTAAAAAACAGCAGGTAGTTTTTTTAACACAGACCCACATCACAGACTTTGTTAAACAGAAATCCTGGAACCAACAGATACTCCAGCATTGACTTTGAACTCTGGACACTTCTTAACCTAGTGAGTCGGCTTTTTAAGAGTGCTGCCATCCATAGCCAAGTATTTCAGAAAAAAACAAGAGGAGTATGCTGACCAGTATTAATTTGTCTCCCCCTCCTAAGACTCCTTCCAACCCAGCACTAGTGTTTATAAATCTCAAACTAAAAGTCACAGGGGTACAAGAAGGGCCTCTAAAATCTAACAGACCTGAGGCTTTCCCAGGAAGAGGTTTTGGTAGTTTGCATGTGAAGAATCAACATTTAAAAGACAGCTCTGGGTACTGCTACCTGCTACCTCTTTCTTCTCCACTATTCCATCTGCCCACTTCCAGTTCTGGCAGCCTGAAAAGCCATAAAGTTCCTGAGACAGTGACTTATGATGGTTAATTAAAAAGCAGCTGTTAAACTGTTTTGCCAAACCCAGGATAAGATCTGAACTCTTAAGGCCAGGCTTGACCATTTAAAACACACCTCTAACTTTCCAATAGGAATGCAGTGACAATAAAACTTGGAAGATAATTGTTGATTTAAAGATGCATTGCTGAAATCCATTTAGACAGATGTTGAGAAAAAATGGTATTTTCCTTCACAAAAATCACTCATTTACTACTACTGATAATAATAACAATCATTTGGAAACTACGAAATTTGCTAACTCAGATCTCTTTTCAGGTTCCAGCTCCCTATTGAAAGCAAGAAGGTGAAGCACACCAAAGGCTTTATGATTATGTTAACAGTCAGAAGCGGGTACATGGACAAAAATGCTGAAATGAGAGGCAGTTGTGCTCACTTGCTCTGTATGTACATATCACAGTCAGGAGGGGTAGAGTCAGCTTTTAGTGTGCTATGATCAGATTTTCTATGCCACAGACAGCACAGCCCCAGTAAGGACTATTAGGTCCACTCCACATACAAGGCTGTATTACCAATGTTTCCTCATTGTCTGGGGCATCTTAGTCCCAAGTAAGGGCAGGCTGACTGGAGAAAAAACAAATCTCTTAAGTCTCATGGGACACCCCTCATGACTTCACTGGACATAAGATATAATCTTAAATAAGAATGACATCTTCCAATAAAAGAAAAAAAAAAAAGATCCATCAGGACCTTTACTGCTGAGGAACTTTTTTTTCTGTCTATATAGCTAGGATTGTTGGCAACAGGCTAAACATGCTATCATATAGCTGAAAACATATTTAAATGGCAAAATACCAATTGTAAGAGCAGTAATCAGATACAGTTCAAAAACCGAATCTCTCTAACCTGTCAAAGAGATTGCAAACAGAGCAGAGCTTTCTCACCTGTGACATTATCAGGAACCTCAGCAGAAAGTGAACAGTCCTGTTTTCCATGCCAAAGCCATGAGATAGCAAACCTCAGGCCAAACCCATCATTTCAGCACTTTTTCCTATGCTGGAAGATCCAGGAAAATAGGTAACCAGAAAGCAGTTTGCCATCCACCATGGGTGCAACCCATCAGAGCCAGGGCCAAATTTAAATCAACAGGACGGCACTGCCTCTTTCTGTTTGCCATGGAACAGTTTTACCAGTTGTGTGCTCATGAAAGTCACTCTTGCTCATGAGACAACATGCAAGATCCGAGACATTTATTCTTTTCTTGAAGCAACTTTGAAGAGCAATTACAATGCTCATATGGAGTAGAGACCAGCATATTTTTTGCACCAATCAGTACTTTTGTCTTCATGCTTCAAGTTTATCAGGAAGGAAAAAAATGCTATTAAAGATAACATGGTCTTGGACTAACTGTAACTACTAAATCACATCATTTTGGCATGAAGGGCACAACCAGGGGCTCATAAAGATTTTCTCATATTGGAATGTGAACAGAAATAAATGTATTTTTAAAATGAAAAGAAAATAAGGAAAAAAACCCAAAAGTCACGTGTAAAAACAGAACACATATCGGTTTCCCATGTTAGCAAACAAACATGCTCAGAATTTACAAGAATCAGACATGGTAGAAGAATCCTGTCAGTACTTACCCAATTTCAAAGCATGAAAGACATCAGGTTGCCTCTTTTCTGTATCTGGAAGAAATATAAATATTCCTATTATCAATCATTTAAAAAGCAAAAATTCTAGTAGAAATTTTCTAGCAAAACCTATATTGTCTAGACCATGCTTTTGCCAAGAAAGGTTGGACCAGATGATCCTTGTGGTTCCTTCCAACTTGGTATTCTATGATGAAAAAATTTACATAGAAGTATTTTTGACATACATTTAATAAGAATAAAGAAAGCACTGATTACCTTTATATTCCCTTTGGGAAGAATGGCTCACCTGTATTGTTGTCTGCGCAGAGTTAAAGCTACAAACTATAATAAAGTCTTTTGCCTTTCAACTTCCATTCTCTATCAGGAAATTGTATTTGGAAACTTCTGTGTTTCCTGCCTGGAAGACTAAAATATCAATTAAAGAACCACAGTATAGTTCTGTGGTCCGGAGCAAACCTCTGTACAACAGCAAACACTCAAATAGTACAGGATTGTTTTGAAAGGTGACTCAAAAAGAGTTTTACAAGGCATCCCATTTTTATTTCCTCCTGAGTGTTGCCAGGTTAATTTGTGACGGTCACAAAAATAACAGTGATGATTTAACTACACTATTGCTATTTGTGCATTAATAGATATCTTTCAGCTCCCAGATCATCATCCCCATAATAAAAACTGTAATTATTACCAATTTTAGTATTTCGAGTGAAGGATCTTTCCTTCAAAATGCCTTCAAAGTGCCTTGGAACTGCTGACACTACGTAAGATGAAGGAAAAAAAGTGACACATTTTGCACCTTCCACTCAAGCCAGAAAAATATATCCTCCTCCATCTTCCAAAGCATTACTGACACTACAGAACCAATGGGCTAAAAAAAATTTAAGGAAAACAAGGAGATGTTGAGAGATTTCCCAAGCTTGATTCTGCCATTTTAATGATAATACAGAAAGGTTAATGTTCATAGCTTTACTCCAAAGGAAGTAATTTGAAAATGCTGAACAAAAGCAATTGCTGGAAAGCCCCTGAAAACATGAGAAACTCTTAAGACTGGGACAGCAAGCTGTGGGTCCGACATTTTCTCGTGGTACAGAAACTGCTCTTATTAGAAGAAACTGTGTATGAGCTCACCATTGGAAAACAGATTTCAAAAGAATAGTTTAGAAAAGGACCAGACTCCGTACTTGGCACGTAAAAAGCCTCGAAGAGAGGCAGCTTCAGGGAGCAGGAGACCACGAGGAGACGCCAGAAGGAAGGACTGTTGTCAGGGTAAGCCGAAGCAAGGACAGGGACACAACACAGGCAACACCCAGGCCATTTCAGGTGGTTTTGAATTTTTTACTGAAAACAGCCCTGAGAAGAGAGTTGCTTTCTTCAGGGAGGCAATTTGCCCTATCTATGGCAATGGATGAGAAGACAAGTTCCTTTTCTGCTGCCTTCTGTATGAGGGAAAGGATCTTTTTTCTTCCCAGGATATACAAGATTTCAGTGCTACGAGGAGACCAAAGCAATGGTCAAAAACCAATGCAGAAATTCGTGTGGAAGCTTAACATTTTTACACACACACCCCCTCTGCCCCTGGAAACTCCTCCTCAGCAGAGGTGACAGGAACACTCACCTGCTTTAACACAAGTCCACTCTTAAAGCTTAAAGAGACTTCTTCAATACTTTAAGTGTACGACTACAGAAGCCCTTCAAGACTCATCAGACCAACTCTACTTGCACGTATGTTCTGTGTATGTGCAAATGCATGGGCAAGGTATAATGCGCTGCACTACTGAATCCCACAGATGCCTGATTCTCTCTGTGTACTGTAACCAACTGATGTGTATTTCTCAGAGAACGGTCATGAGCAAACGCCTACCGTCAACCGGTTCTGTCTGGTAGTGTGGCTGTATGAAAGCCCTAGCTCCAACTTAACCTATGAGTCAACATCCGACTACATTAACATTTTCTCTGAAGCAGAAAAATGTCAGATTTTTGTCCTAGATTCTTAAAGTACAAGGGAAGCTTGACCCTTGGAATGACACCACATTTAAATAAAAATTAACAATTTGGGTGATTGTGGACACGTCCACATGGTAGTGTAATAATACACATAATTAGGTAAGATTTCAATAAGCCTATTTGGGTATCACAAGTGGCAGAGACCTTGGAGTGGACTATCCTACCCTACAGGCTTTCTGCCACCACAGCTGGATAGGTGGCAGCACCTGGAAAAGGTTCTTTCTAGGGCTAGCCACATCCTTTGATTTCATAGAAAGTACTCCAAAACTGAGAAATCCAGATGCTGCTCTTCCAAACCCTGCATCATAAAGCACAAATACCTTGACAAATGTCCCCAAACAGCCACATACAGAATAAGGTCCCAATCTCTGAAATGACTTACTGACATTCAAATGTCCAACGCAATGTCCAAACCAAACTGTCTGATTTCAGGAACAAATTTAATGCATTTCTGTTAGCATAAACAAACTTCTGGAGAAGGAAAAAGAAGCAAATCCACAATACTGTAACAAAACTAACATAAGACATTCATAACATCACCAGCTAGAAAGAAAAGCTAATTTGGAAAGATATCTGGAAGAGATACCCACAGTAATTTTTTTTTAAAAAACTAAATTCATTAACATTTCAAACTGACAGGTGACAGCAAGTAGGTTTAACCTTCATCTTCAATAAAAATAAAAATTCTAGGAATATAAAAATATAACAAACTGTCAACAGAATATAAATTTGCCTAGTAATTTAAAAAAAAACTTGGAAAATTACTGGTAAAGACACACAATATACTGTTCTGTCCTTTTGGCTGAGTGTGCAGTACTAGATACACTGGTTAAGACTGAAGGAAAAATGATGTAGTCTAACTTTGCTCACATCTTCCCTAAGCCTTCAGATCACCTAGTACAAGATATTGCTTCTCTCTATGAAATCCTGGATTTCTTATATCCTTCCACACTCATGGCTAAAGCTATATGACTACCACACATTCTTTAATTACATGGTCACAAAATGTTTATCAATTCTTTTGTCTAATCAGTGCACATAATAAATGCATTATAGGGTAGAATTAAAAAACCATAAAAGTAGCATTTCTTACATTTTACTTGAGATTTGCACTGAAATAATGTTATTTTAATCTAGTTTTGTACACACGTGAGCACAGTGTGCGTGCCTATCTGCGTGTGTGCGCACATAGGCATATTCACATTTGAGGAGAAGAGGTTGCTTATAAATTTTATGAAACCCTGAAGTTAATTAAGTATTCCCCTCTCCTGCAGGGAACAGAAAAGTAGGGGACATGCCAACTCGTTATTCATCCACATTAATATTTGATTTTCTCAGAATACATAGTCCACTATCAAAGGACTTTGAGGAGGTTTTATATATTCAAAGAGTGCTAGAAGAAACCATGAGGTTAATCTCATCTGGCTTTCTGCATGTCACAGGCCTTGTACGCATCACCCAGTGAAGGCAATCCGATGATGAGTTTTAGAAAGGCATTTAACCTTGATTGCAGAGATTGCACACCTCTACTAAGTCACTCCAGGTCTACGCCTCACCACAAAGCATAGTGGCTTATTTCCCATTCAAATTCTTCTAACTTTAAACTCACAGGTTTTTTTCTTTGGCTGCCATATAAAAGGGCCCTCCAGTACTGGACTTCCTGTCCTTAATGTGGACACTTTATTAATCACACCTCTTAACCACATCCTCATCAAATTAGACAGATTGAACTTCTTCAGCCTCTCCTTACAGGGCAGATTTTCTAGATTTTTTTATCTTTTAGGTTTCCTTTGAGCCTGCAACATCTTTTCTTTGATATCCTGTTCTGTTTTTTATGTCTCTTCTTTAGTGCCATTTCAAGTAGGCCTTTGCAATTTTCTTCCTAAATGAGCACCTGGATCGTGTGTTTAAAAGCAAAAATCATTTAAAATATTAAAACATTTTAAAATGTTTCACATGATTTTTATTGCAAGACAGGAATCTTGTCATGCTAACGTGGAGCAAATCTCCAGAAGTTGGGCATTCCTGCCTCACCTGAGGTAGGTGTACCTACTCCAAAATTTTAAAAAAAGTCTAGTCACAAATTATAAGGAACAACATGTACATACAAAATAACCCCTTTGATTTCTAAATATGCAATCAAAACTTGAAGAAAACGAAACAAAAAACTAATGCTCCATACCTGCCTGAGGTCTGATCGTTGTAAGAGATTCCAGGTAGTCTTTCATGTCTTTGTGTTTGAAGCCAACAGAGATTTCAAAAGGTGTCTTATGTAGAACATTCAGGTGATCGGGATTGGCACCCTTCTCCATGAGCTGCTGTGCCAAGCTCACCTTTCCACTAACAGCTGCCAGCATTAAAGGGCTCCAGCCCATAGTCTTCACAGTGTAATTACAATCAGCTCCCCAGTCTAACAACAGATGTACTACTGCCTCATGTCCATGTTGAGCAGCTGCCATTAGTGGAGTGATGTCAGGAAGGTCATCTCTGCTGCTGCTAAGTACACTTGCGCTAAAATGGTCATAATTATCTACAAAAGCTCCAGATTCCAGCAACAATTTCACCATGCTGACGTGGCCACCTCTGGAGGCCATTGTGAGGACACTGGCTCCCAACTTATTCTGTGCATTGAGATCAGCACCATTCTCCAGCAAGATGTGAGCCACACTTAGATGTCCAAACCTTGAGAGAAAGAGATAAGGAGGAGAATTAACACCTTGGATAGCAGAGGCTTCTCAAAGAAAAGTGACATACTCTCAATGCAGAAAACTTGGTTACCAAATTGGTCTATTGACTAATATGCTATGTGGGATCATACACGCACCACTGAATGTGACTGTGGTGACCTTACTGGAGGGGAGCGATCAACAGCTGAGGACTGTAAACTAAACCATTCCGCATGTACCAGCGACCATGCTCATAAACCAGGCACTGATTTAAGAGCATGTTCTGGCCCAAGCAGCAATGTGCTAGCCCCATTTTCAACTGCATGACATCAACACATAACTTCCATAAACCAGAGAGTCACTTTCATCCTCTTATTTCCAAGCCTGTATCATTTAGGAATCAAAACCGGTTTGTTTGCAGAGATCTTAATTAAGTACCCTCATTACTATTGAATGAGTAAAAACTTCAGAGAGTCAATGCCAAAGGAAAGAAAAAGACCGTTTTATGAACTGGATAGCCAATCTTTCATATTTGCATCATCCCTTGCTTTCCAGTTGTGAACCATCAACCAACCCCCCACAATGGAAGAAGGCTCAGAGAAGACAGGCATGTGCTCATGAAGCTCAGGGAAGAACACAGAGAATGGCCACAGCTGTTGTAAAGAAAGCTAAACTTCTCTCAACACAAAGGGAAACCAGACAGTGTCCCTTGTTTTAGAGAAACAGCTCTACCAGCAGAGTGGGACAACTGGCTGCGTGACTGGCCTTCCCTAAAACAATCAATAGAAAGTACTATCTTCCCGACTCAGCCAGACCAGCATGGGGGAAGTGTCTATGCAGCTCAGCCCAACAGAGCACCGAAACTGAGCAATCAACGAATCAAATTTTGAAGAGAGCAAGGGGCTTGAGCTGGCTTCCAGCAACATAGTCCTTCCCAGCAACTGTGGACATCCAGCATCATGATGCTGAACGTACGGGGACCGGTAATGGGCGTGCTGTTTGTTTTGTGGTTCAACTGTGTGTTGCAGTTGCTATGTTAGGTTTGTGTTATGTTTTCAGGAGACTGCTGTATCACCGGGCCAAATCAAAATCCTGTATAACATCAAATATTGTCCAATAAGGAAACTTGGGATATCTAAAAGAACTTGGTCAGAGTACTGAACTCGGATGGCACTTTCACCAGTAACCCTGCTTTGATACCACTTGACTATCAGAGGCTCTGGTAGTTTGCCATTAAGCAAAAGACAATCATGCATGCCATACACCCAACCAGCTGGTCAACCATGAGAAAATTAAAACCCTTTACCATTCCTCAGCTCAGGAATCCCACATTTTAATAAACATAATACAATACAGGCTGGGCAGAGAATGGACTGAGAGCAGCCCTGAGAAGGACTTAAGGGTGTTGGTGGATGAGAAACTCAACATGAGCCAGCAACGTGCACTTGCAGCCCAGAAAGCTAATTACATCCTGGGCTGCACGAAAAGTGTGACCAGCAGGCCGAGAGAGGTGATTCTGTCCCTCTACTCTGCTCTTGTGAGACCCCACCTGGAGTACTGCATCCAGCTCTGGGGGCCCCAGTACAGGAGAGACATGGAGCTGTTGGAGCGAGTCCAGAGGAGGGCCACGAAGCTGATCAGAGGGCTGAAGCACCTCTCCTGTGAGGACAGGCTGAGAGAGTTGGGGTTGTTCAGCCTGGAGAAGAGAAGGCTCCGGGGAGACCTTATAGCAGCCTTCCAGTACCTAAAGAGGGCCTACAGGAAGGCTGGAGAGGGACTGTTTACAAGGGCATGGAGTGACAGAACAAGGGGCAATGGCTTTAAGCTGAGAGAGGGTAGATTTAGATTAGCTAATAGGAAAAAAATTCTTCGCTGTCAGGGTGGTGAGGTACTGGAACAGGGTGCCCAGAGAAGTTGTGGATGCCCCATCCCTGGAAGTGTTCAAGGCCAGGTTGGACAGGGCTTTGGGCAAGCTGGTCTAATGGAGGGTGTCCCTGCCCATAGCAGGGGGGTTGGAACTAGATGGTCTTTAAGGTCTCTTCCAACTCAAATCATTCTGTGATTCTATGACAAGATGTGTACTTTGTGCTCTCATTGCACATATCATGCATTACTATATGCTTGTGCAGTGTTTAACACAATCGAGCTTTGATTCTGAAAGCAGCCTTTGTACACTGCAGCAAAGCAAATATTAGTTAAGGAAAACCCAAAGACTGCTACTAACCACTAACAGCAGACAAGGGACGAAAACTCCCTACTTTCCTTTCAGAAAGTACATAGTCGCAGAAGGAAGCCTCCAGGGCCTGTCTAGTCCTTAGGTCTATCCTGGTAGCCTTCACTGCGTCACCTCAGTAGAGCCTGCAACCACTGTACACATGATTAATTTTATGCATATATGCTATCTCCTGTCCAATCTCAACAGGACTTACCACAGACAGAAAATTAAACATGTACTCAGTTTGAAACCTATGTTTGTACAAACACTATGTTTCCTTTTTGGTTATCCATTAAAAAGAAAAAAGAAATATGCTCTTCCACTTTAAGCCTTCTCCACAGATTTCAATGATATCTACAGTACTTTTCAAATGGAAGCAAGTCATTGCTTTAACACAGTGAGAGGGTTACAGTGACTCGAGTTTATTGTTTTTAGAGAATGAGCGTATGGTTTTCATTAAGAGAAAAAAATCTAAGAATGTTTCTGCAAGTTTTTTCCTTTTTTTAACCTTCATAAAATAACAAAATTGTTAAACCTTGTCTTCCTTGTTCTTACTGGGAAACCAGCTGTGTGACTCATTCTTTGGGAACTTTCTATGGGCTTTAATTGAAAAGAGAAATGTTGACTTTGAAACAGACTCTTTTCTTCCAAGTATTTTAATCTGTTATGAAACAAGAAAGAAACCAAACCCAAGAAACATTTATCTTCTCAATTAAACATTCTATTATTACAGGAAAACCTCACAAAACACCTCTGTAAACATGTATATGTACTTGTATATTTAAAGATAAGCACAGATACAAGCATTAGCAATACGGGAACCTCCCACAACCCAGCAGTGAGTTACACGAACCACAGCATCATTGATGCAGAAAGCAATCCAGTTTTGTCATTAAAAACCTAAGCAATGCTTTTCCACATCCTCCAGTGAGCCATTTAGGAAAAATATAGAAAAGCCAAGTGAAATGAACTATTTCTGTTTGCTTAGTATGCTTTATGTCAGAGATGACTTTTCAACAGGTAGGTAAAACACACACATACTGAAAAAAAAACTAAGAGAAAATTAAGTAAGGTTGTGCACATGCCTTATTTCCACAGAAGGAAAGCAGGGAGCACTGTTTTCATGTTCAGGTTACCGCTGAACTGCAATTCTGCCCTGGCTTTACCCAAGAAATAGCATGCACAGCTTCAATCCCCTTAACTATTAAGGAAAGGAAAAACTTAGCAACCCAGTGTAATACGTATAAAAACTTAAACTCGACAACCTCTCCTCACCCACCCCCGGGGAAGGCAACAGGTTACACACACCCCCACCCCGGGATAACAGCCCCTACACCGGCAACGAGCTACCGCGGCCTACAACATGGCGCCTGCCCGCCCGCGCTCACACACGCTGACCCGCCTGAAACCCCCGGGTGCTCCCGGGCGCCCTCCCTCAGCCTGGAGAGCTGGATTTCGAGGGCGAAGGGGC